TGCCCGTCCAGGCGCCAGACCGCAGAGGAGCGCGAGGCCGAGCGGCACCGAGCGGGGCGGCTGCTCCTGCACCTGCAGCAGGACGCGCTCCCACGGCCGCTGCGGCCGCCGCTGCCCCCGGACCCGCTCTGCCTGCACAACTCGTCGCTCTTCGCGCTGCAGAACCTGCAGCCCTGGGCAGAGGACAACAAAGTGGCCTCCGTGTCCGGGCTGGCCTCGGTGGTGTGAGCTGCGCTGCCGGAGCGGTGCAGTGCACCGGCCCGAGGCGGTGAAGCGCACCGCTGCCCGCAAACGTGGACTCGGGGCAGCCGAGGTATGAGGAGCAGCAGGACTTGCGACACCGTCGAGGGCTCCTTGGCCACCCGCGGGCACTCAGGCCAGCACTGAGCGGATTCCTGCGCGATCAGACTTGGCCTTTCCCGCCATTTTTCACCGACAAGCTGTTAAACAGCGGCTGGGACTCGCGGCCCCCCAGAGGGCGGGACCTGCAGGACAGTAGCCAATCAGGTGTGTGTAGGGGGTGGGGGAGCGGCGCGGCCGACACCAGCTGCCCTCGGAGGTCTCTGCGTGGGTAGGCTCAGAGCTGGGCTTCTCGGAGCGCGAGCCGAGCCGCAAGGCCGGCAGTGCTGGGCAAGGGGTGGCTGCAGCCAGGGCTGTTTGGGTTCTGTATACCAAAGGTGTGAAGGAAGATGCCAAGGACAGCAGAGTAAGGGGAAGCGCCAGAGCTGAAAATCTGGCTGATTGTGACAGGGATCAGAGGGTTGTCCTCGCTGGGTATCTCGTCCCACAACTGTAAAAGATCGCTAAGGATTCCTTCTTGATTCTGAGTCTCATGTTTCCGTACGTATCCAATCTGCTGGCACATCCTACTACTTGAACTTCACAATGCACCTGTGCTATAGAGGAGACAGATGCTTCCTCGCCTGATGAAAGAACAATCTAGGAAGAAAGTTTAGCCCTGATGTTCCACAGGGATAAAGAAAGGGAAAGGGGAAACAGTGGACAGTTAATGGGTCCAATGGACTCAGGGTAAGCAGAATTTGGCGAATATTTAGGAAGTGACAAGCCCTAGGAGAATCAAAGGCAATTTTAAGATTGGATATGTGGAGGTTCAGGGAATCAGTGGTGCTGAGGATGAAGATAACTTTGTGAGGTTTGTAGTCAGATTAACTTTGTAGGTGAAACTAGAGGGAAAAAAATCTGGAGATCAGATGACATCCACAGAGATGGAGAAGGAAAGATAAGACCACATAGGATCCCCAAGGGAAGGAACTCTAGAAGAAAAGCAGAGTTCTAGGTGTAAACCTTTCTATCGGTACTGGCAAACACTTTTGCAATGTGCAAGATGATGGAGGATTTCTAAGTTAACAGTCCAAGGGGATGAAAGGGAAAGGAGCACCCAGCCAAAAAGGAAGAGAATTGGGATGCCCCTGAAGTTTTTAGGAAGACTTCAGCAGCCCAGTGTGGCGGCACATGCTTGTAATCCCAGCACTCTGGGAGGCTGAGGCAGGAGGATCACAAATTCCAGGCTAGCTTAGGCAACTTAACATGATCCTGTTTCAAGGGGAAATATTTTTATTTTTTTGGTACTAAGAATAGAACTCAGGACCTTGCGCTTGCCAGGCAGGCACTTGTGCCGCTGAGCTATATTACTCAGCCCTCAAGAGGAAATATTTTTTAAAAGGGGCTGGGGATGTAGCTCAGTGTGAAGGCTCTGGGCTCAATTCCAAGTGCTACTACTACCACCACCTCACATACACACTCACACACACTCACATACACACACTGAAATAAAGGAAAGAAAGACTTCAACTTGTGGATGGGCCAGAGGCTGCTGGGAAGCTTGCTGATGAGTTAGGAGATGGTTACCATAGCCTTTTTGTTTATATTTTTTTTTGTGTGTTTTTTTGGTACCAGGAATTGAACTCAGGACCTTGTGCTTGGCAGGCAGGTGCTTGTGCCGCTGAGCTATATTCCCGGCCTCCTTTTTTTTTGTCTGTTTGAGACAGGATCTCGCTATGCAGTTCAGGCTGGCCTTGAGCTCACTTTGTAGCCCAGGCTGGTCTCGAACTCACAAGGATCCTCCTGACTCAGCCTCCTGAATGCTGGGATTACAGGAGTGCGCCACCATGCCTGGCTACAAAAGTGGTTCCTTTTTTTTTTTTTTTCGGTACTGGGAATTGAACTCGGGACCTTGTGCTTGCCAGGCAGGCGCTTGTGCTGCTGAGATATATCCCTGGCCTGCCTTTTTGTTTATAAAGGAGCACCGTGTGCTGGGTTCAGTTCCAGTGATGGGGGGTGGAGAGAACAGGATTTAAAGTCAATGAAAAAGAGAAAAAAGAAGAAAGAGAATCTGTTTAATTCGTTTACCAGCACTGTTCTTTCTCCCCTGGAGCCTGGAACACTGGGACAAAGGGAAGACAGGCAGAGCAGAGACCAACTGTAGGTAGACTACTCCTGCTCCATGCTAGTGACGGCTATGTCAGGGAGATGACACAGAGATGTGACCAGAGGAGGGAGCCAGGCAACAGGACTTGGTCTTGGATCTCTGACATCATGTTGTCTCTGACTCATGGATGTTGTATAGGGTGTTGCAGAACAAAAATAAAATTTGGCATCATAGGAAAATCTTTTTATGGACCAAAAGGGAGTACAAGAATGGGTTTGGCATACGTTGGTGGGATGGGAAGCATGTCAGTCCCTCACCAATAAATAGGAGAATGCTAAGGCTATACAGGTGGTGGCTTGCCCCCTTCCCGCCATGCCCAGCCCACCCTTTCTTGGGGCTTAGGCTCTAGGATGTACGTCTGACCCTAAAGTTCGGGTTTCTAAATGTGGCAGGCTGCAGTGGCGCTGGGCTGAGGGAGGCTCTCATGCCGTGGGATGAGCTCAGCTCCATTCCTTAGGCAGGCAGGTCACTGCAGGACACAGGCATCTCTGAAGTCCTGGGCGGAGGAAGTTTCCTTCTCTGCTGATGAATCTGCCATTCCTTCCCTCAGCTGGTTCAGGAGGTCTCTGCTCTCACTGGGGGGCAAGTTACTCAGGAAGTACGGGGGGGCCAGCTCCACCAGCCTAACAGAGAGAGTCCTAGTTAGATGATCTGTCTCTTCTCCTATGAAGCAGACTAGAATTTCCCACCATGCCTTCCCAAGTCCTCTGCCCTCAAGACATACGTTGCTGCAGACCGCTAAGATCCCTTCTTCTGATGTCTCTCCAGCTCCCCATCTTTAGTTTTGGCCCTGGGAAGAATGGGCAGTGTAGAAGGGGTACAGGCAACTCACATCTCAGGTTGAATCTCAGAAACGATGGAAAGGCAGTTGTCTTTGGAGATGGAGAAGCTGTGATATAGCACCCACTGTGGGGGTCTGGCTGGCGCCCGGCGGTTTCGGTAGCAGCAGTGTAAGGATAGCTGGGCCACATGTTTATGGGTTAAGAGCAGGTAATTTCCAGTCCCGTCCGTGTCTCGGGCCACCTCATTAGAAGACAAAGATATTAAAGGTATAACTAAAAGAGGCGGAGTAGAAGAAATGGGGACTGAGAAAGAATTAGTAAGGATGGTGAGGGTTTTAACGTAAAGCATTAATTTCCTGTAGGTATTGTGTGGTCCCCAACATACTATATGACATTTTCTATAGTTCCTGGTACCCAAGGACTCAAAGGAAAAGTACCTCTTAGTCCTAAAGCTTTTTTTGTGGTACTGGGGATTGAACCCAGGGCCTTCACACTAAGCTACATCCCCAGCCCTTTTATTTAAGACAGGGTCTTGCTAAATTGCTCAGGCTGGAACTAAAACTTTTTTTTGTTTGTTTTTTTGAGACAGGTCTCTGTAGGTAATTCAGGCTGGCCTTGAACTATGTAGCCCAGGCTGGCCTTAAACTCATTTTTATTTGGTCTTTTTCAGACAGGGTCTCACTATGCAGTTCAGGCTGGCACTGAGCTCACTTTGTAGCCCAGGCTGGCCTCTAATTCACAATGATCTTCCTGCCTCAGCCTCCTGAGTGCTGGGATTACAGACGTGTGCCACCACACCTGGCTGGCCTTAAACTCATGGCAATCCTCCTGCCTCAGCTTTTCAAGTGCTAGGATTACAGGCATGCACCACCATGCCTGTTTTGGACTCAAATTTACAATCTTCCTGCCTCAGTCTCACAGGTGCTGGGACTATAAGTATGCACCATCATGCTCAGCTTCTAAAGAATCTTTTTTTTTGTTTTGTTTTTCTGAGACAGGGTCTCGCTATGCAGTTCAGGCTGGCCTTGAGCTCACTTTGTAGCCCAGGTTGGTCTCAAACTCACAACGATCCTCTTGCCTCAGCCTCCCAAGTGCTGGGATTACAGGCATGTGCCATCACACCTGGCCTAAAGAATCTTTTGAGTGGTCACTTGGACTGTAATTTCAGAGGTGACATACTAACATTTGTTCCCTCTGCCTTCTGCTCCTTTTATCACCCTCACCCCAATACTTTGCCCTAACTTTGAGGAAGTATCCTGACACCAGTGCTTTCTGAAGGTCTCTGCGATTCTGCTCAGAGCCAAAGGCTGGCTGAGACAAGGGAAGCTCAATTCGCTGCATGAGTTCCAGGAGTTCTCCCCGAAGTTTACGGGCTTGGCACAATGCTGCCCAACTTAGACCTCGAGCCTGGCACCAAGCTTCGTCCTCTCCACCTAGAAGAGAAGGGACAGCTGCAAAGGAAGTCCTGCAGACCCCGGAAAGAACACAACCATTCGCCCAAGGTCCTCCTTCCCCTGGGCACAGAGATCTGCCACTGGCTGTATACCACTGCCCCTTCTGGAAACTCGGGGATTCTCTAAAAGGAGGGGTCACTCACTTTGGATAAAGGCTTCGTAAACCTGGATCAGAGAGCTGTGATCACCATCTGCGTGTTCCAGGGCCCGACGCAGGGCAACTTCTTCTGCACACAGGGGAGGACGAGTAAACCCTGGGGCAGCTGGAGGCAGAAGAGAGGAAGCTGTTTTGAGGAATGAGACAGGACAGTAGTATAGGTGGAATACTGCAACAGTGTAAGTGTCACTTTGGGAACTTTATTTAAAAGACATTGATAACGTCTCGGTGTTGTACACTCTGTTAGACACTGAAAATAAATACAGCCAGCCAGCCCTCCATATCCGTGGGTTCTGCATCTGTGGATTTAACAAACTGAAGACTGAAAATGTATGGGGAAAGATTGCATTTGGAGTGAACATGTGCAGACCTTTTTCTTTTGAGACAGGGTTGTACTATGTAGTTCAGGCTGGCCTTGAACTCATTATGTAGAACAAACTGGCCTCAAACTCCCAGCAATCCTCTTGCCTCAGCCTCCCGAGTGCTGGGATTACAGACATGCACCACCATGACTGGCCTAGACTTTTTCTCATTATTCCTTAAACAACATAGTGTACCACTTAATAGTATTCACATTGTGATAGGTATTGTAAGTAATCTAGAGATGATTTAAGTTATACAGAGGGATACGTAGATTATGAGCAAATACGGTACCACTTTCTTGTAAGAGAATTAAGCATTAGTGGATTTTGGTATCCACAGAGAATTCTGGAACCAACCTCCCATGGATATTGAGGGACAGCTGTAAATGAAAGACAGTCTTTGTCCCCACAGAGAGGAGAGTCTGGTGGGAAAGACCAACAAGTAGGCAGAGGTGATGAGTGCGCCAGCTGCGTGTGGGGCAGTCTGGAAACACAGCAGGGCGGGTAATCCGGGCTGGGGTTATGGTGCTGACGGGGATGTGGAGGAAAGGGGGAGGCTCCTTGGGCCAGGTTCTGAGTCTGAGTAGGAATTATCTCAGTGGCCCAGGGGCAGGGAGAGCAGTCAAGGCCATGGGAGCAAGGGAGAGAAGTTAATAGCATGGCATATTTTGGGGACTGCAAGCCACAGGGTTTGGGTAGAGGGAATGATGTGGCGGAATAGCAGGAGATACGGCTGGAGAGGTAGGCAGACACCAGATGTGCTGCGCACAGCAGCGGACGTTCTGTGTGGAAGGTGAAGGATACCTGCTAAAGAGAGGTTTGTCAGGAGGAGGGGTCATGAGTGCAGAAACGTTCACAGGACTGGCTGGGTGACCACCGATGGGATCCCGCTGAGCCAGGAGGAAGTCCCGACGGAGGCACTGACAGCGAATATGCAAGAGAGCAGATGACTTTACTTAGGATATAAAGGTGAAGATGGTCTAGGGAAAGGTCAGTCTAGAATGGTGGTAGTGGATCAGTAGGGGTCATGGTATTATCTGAAACTGAAGATGCTGAGGAGGAAAGTTTGGTGGTGATGGTGAGGTAGGCCTCTTGCTCTTTTTTTCTGGTACTGGGGATTGAACCCAGGCCTTTGCACTGAGCTATATCCCCAGCCCCATATGTATGTAGGGTCTCTCTAAGTCTCTAGATTGCCCAAGTTGGGCTTGAACTCGCTATCCTCTTGCTTCAGCCTTCCAGATTATTCAGATCATAATCATGTGTCACTACTCTTGCTTGTGAGGGATAGTTTAATAGAGTGCTTGAGTTGAGTTCTGAGCTGAGGTATTGTGCAATATTCTGGTTGAAAATATCCATCAGCAGTTGGCTCGCTTTCTCTTCTCCTATCCCCTCCTTTTTCCTAAGATGTAGGCCAGGTGCAGTAGTGAAGGCCTGTAATCCCAGCACCAGAGAGGATGAGGCAGAAGGACTGCTATGAGTTTGAGACCAGTTGGGGCTACAAAGTGAGTTCAAGGACAGCCTGAACTGTGTACTGAAACCCTGTCTCAAAAAAAAAAAAAAATCTAGAAGAATCACATTGGTAGAGATACAAGATACAAAGGTTAGGCATTGCTAAGTACAAAGGCAGCGTGTCCAATCATGAGTGGGGTGAACTTGCCCAGAGAGTTAAAGGAACAAGAAGACATAAGGGTCAAGGACAGAGCCCTGAATACCAGTTTACAAGCAGAGGATGAGCAGCTCAGGAAGGGATGAAGGAAATGGCCAGAGAGGTAGGATGAAAAATACAAGCTGTAGCATCATAGAAGCACGAGCAGGAGACAGTTTCAAAGTGGGAATGGTCAGCACTGTGTGTCAAAATGTCATCAGTAAAGCCTCAAAGTGCCCACTGGGTGAGCCATCCCGAGGGTCCTTGGTGAGCTGAAAGCTGTTTCAGTGGTATGTGGGCCTGAAGCCAGGTGCAGTGAGTGGGCAACCCGTTGGATAGGATGGGATAGAGATTAGACAGTGTAGCTCAGTGATGGCAAACCTTTAGACCTTTCAGTGATAACAAACAGCTGGCTGTGGCATGAGTGCCAAAGGTTCGCCACCGGGGTATAGCTGAATGAAGGTAAACCTGCGGAGGTGGGGTGTAGGGGTTTTAGTTAAAACAGATGGGAGAGATTTAACCAGGGGCAAGAAATACAGAAGAAAGACTACAGAGATAAGAGGGGTAGCCGACTATGCCTGGTTCTTCAGGCACCGTGAGGGTTGGGAATTAGAGCAGAGGGGAAAAGGCAGCCTTACGAGCACCAAAACACAAGGAGCAGGAGCCACTGACTCACAGCGGTGATTTACAGCGGTGATTTACACCAGTAGGAGCCAGGGCTGTGGCTCAGTGGCACAGTGCTTGCTGAGCAAGATCCTTAGTACTGAGAGCACAAAAACAAACCCCTGAACAACTAATGTGATGTCATTTCCAACCCCCCAGTGGCTGGAATCTATAAATATACCCGTGAGCATGGCGGCCAGGGTGAGCATCTCATCCACACAGTTAAACTCGCACGACGCCAGCAGGGCTTTGGCCAGCTCAGGCGACAGGGGGAACTCTGATAAGATGACTCCCAGGTCTGACAGGTCCCCGTCGTCATCCAGGGCTGCCAGGTAGTCTAAGTCTTCCAGGGCCTGCATCAGCGCTTCTGGAGCTGGTGAAGACAGGGCTCAGAGGGCGTGAAGTCTCACAGGTAGTGGGGGTGGGAGTGGGCAGGACGGGTGCTCACCAGGCCGGTCCAGGAAGTGGCACTCCCCTGGCTCAGCAATCTGCCTCCTCTTTAGTAGCAATATCAGGGGACTCAGATTCTCCTCACACACCCTGGGTTGGGGCAGTGGGGGAGCCTCTAGTTCCAGAGTGGTTTTGGGATACAGGCAGAGGTAGGATCCTGAGGGAAGGAACAGCTGGACAGTAGATTCACCAGGGCTTGCGCACAGCACCTCTTCTCAGGCTGGGTCTCCGTGAGGACAAAGGCTCTTACCTGGTGGGAACCCTCTTGCCCGCAGTAGTCTTGCTTCTGCCTGACACTTGCTAACCGGTCTTAAGACTTGGGATTCTGCTCGGATCCGGGGACTGTAAACCTATTGCCCATGCCCCAGCCAAGGTCAAGACAGATCACGGGCCTTTTCTATTTGTAGCCCCACTCCCCCCATCTCTCTCACTCACACTTCGAAGCTCCAGTCCTGAGTCAATGACGTGTCGGACAGAAGGAAGGGAGAAGGAGAAGTCAGCCAGCCAGTGAGTGACCACGACCTTCCGGGCCCCCATGTCTGTGTCCTCATACACGGCCTGAATGGCTTGACCACAGCCTGGGTGAAGGGGCAGCACCCGCGGTGGAGGCCCTAGGAGTGCCAGGGTCCCCACCTCCCTGGACAAGGATTCACAGCACAGGGAAATTTCCTGAGGAGAGGGGTGGGGCATTAGGGCAGTTCTCAGCTTTTTGGGGGTAACAAACCCTTTTGAAAAATTGATAAAAGCGATAGCCCTTCACTCTGAAAAAATATACATTCTTATAAAGTTGAGGATGTTATAATTTCAGAAGTTCACTGAAATTTCTGCATTAGAAGGAATCAGGACATGTGTAGAAGGTATCTTTGTCCTGAAGTCCTTGTTTTTTTTTTCTTGCGGTACTGGGTATTGAATGCAGGTTTTTGTTTTTTTTTTTTCTTTTTTGACACAGGGTCTCACTATGCAGTTCAGGCTGGCCTTGAGCTCACTTTGTAGCCCAGGCTGCTCTCAAACTCGCAATGATCCTCCTGCTTCAGCCTCCCGAGTGCTGGGATTACAGGCATGCACCACCACGCCTGGCAAACGCAGGGTTTTTGCACTGAGCTACATCCCCAACACTTTTTACATTTATTTTATTTGCTTTTTAAAATTTTGAGACAGGGTCTTGCTAAGTTGTCCAGTGTGGGCTTAAACTTGTGATCCTCCTGTCTCAGCCTCCCAGATTGCTAGGATTATAGGCGTGTACCACAATCCTTGGCTCTGAAATCCCTGGGTTTTTCTCCAGGACCTCAGCAGAAAATAAATCCTACCCTTCCTCCATTTCTAACGTGCATTAGTCCCATTTCCCTGGGGTAGGAAGGTGATATACATGAGCACTTCCTTTTGGAGCCCATTCCTTTTACCTCCTCACTGGGCAGGTACACTAGCACATCTCCCGGAGCCTCCTTCAAACACAGCTCAAGCACGGCTTGGCAGGCAGCTTCTACCCGATCAGTAGGAACAGTGTCTCTGTAGGTAGCGGTGGGACTGCTGCCAGGCACTCTGGGTACATGCACAACGGGAGGATTGCCCCAGAAGGCTTGGAGCTTAGGTTCAAGGGCTGGGTCAGTAACCACAACCACTCGAGGGTCCCCTGGAAGGTTTCCCAGTGTGGTATCTCTCAGCAGCCCCTGGAGTGAATCGGAGGCCACTGACCGCTCCTGAGTCTCATCCAACACCAGCACACCCCAGGCTCCAGTGCCCCGGGTTGAGGCCAGCTCCTGCAGGAGCAGCCTGTCCCAGCAGAACCTGTTGGTATTGGTAGTAGGCAGGGCAGTCAGTGTGGGCAGACAAGCCCCAGAATTGTAGGGGAACTCCTCTCCAAAGGACATAGATTTTGATACTGAAAGTCAGAAAAAGATGGTGACTGACTTTCTGAGCCTGTGGACCCATAACTATGACCCCATAACCCCTGTGAGGACACCTGGTTCTTTACCCTAGATGGGTAGTGAGACATTCGTGGTGAGATGGAGTTTGAATGTCTGAGGCTTCTGGCAGGAACTCAGGGGCTTAATTTAGCAGTTGCACTGTACATGATTGAGAGGATGAGTTGGGCTGGGGGTGGTTATGGTGAGATGCCAGACGGGCCTGTGGGGGACCCCACCTGAGCAGAGTGCTGGGTCCTGTGCAGTCCTCCTGGGGGATGCTATATCCAACCTCATGACCCACGGTCAGGTCCATCTCATCAGCAACCCGCAAAGCCAGGCTCAGGGCTGCCAGAGGGTAGGGCTGAGTGACAGTAACCTGGCCATTCTGGAATCCCCTGGCCAGTGCAAATTCTGCACACCACTGAGGGATCTAGGGTAGGGGGAAGGAAGGACAACCAGTGAGGGGGCCATAGAACTTTGGCCAAAGTCTTGGGGAGCCACAGGTAGTATACTCTCTTATTTGGGGAGTCCTTTATCAATACCCTGGGGCCAGCCTAACCCACTGCCCTGCGCCCCCCTCCCCATATCCCTGGGCAGTCCACCCCTTACTCCGGGAAAAGCCAATGTTTTAGCCCCTCCCAGAATCTCCCTCCACCTGGGTGCTCTTGCCAGAGCCAGGCTCCCCAGACACCAGGACCACTCCAGTGGGGCTGCTCTCCAAATGCTCCAAGAAGATGAAGCGAGCAGCCCAGATGGGCAGGCCTCGGCGCTGCTCAAGCAGCTCATAGTAGCGGGAAGAGAAGGGGAGCCCATCAAACGGGTTCACAGCCAGTTCAGACTCCCCAGGGTGGTCGGATTCTTCTGTGGGCCTAAGAGGCTGAGAGGCCATGGTGGCTGTCTGGGAGGACCTACAGGAGGCAGGGCAGCTAGTAAAGCCTATGTGGCGACACATCATCTCCCCACATCAGCTCTGATTCTTAGCATCTATCTTCAGGTAATAATGCCGGCGGCCCATACTTCCCAGCATTTCCTGCTTGCCCAGAAACAGTCCTGGGTGTTTCTAAGGGATCATCAAAAGTGAACTTTTACCCCGCAGGTGGGTAGTTAAGTCTTACGACTAACCAGGAGTCCCTGGAGGCAGCAAGAATTATGTGAGACATAGTACATAGGGAAGGTCCGGGGGTGGAGGGTGAAAGAGTAAGGAATGGGATGGTAACAGAAGGGCCACAAGGATCCTGGTTTCAAACCTGCTTGCAGCTCTGAGACGTCAGGATGGCAGCCAGTTCCAGACCCACCCAGGCAACTGCTGACTGTTTAAAGTACAAAGGTAAGTTCCGGCTCCACCCTAGGGCTAGGCTCAAACTCCAATCCAGATGCTTGCTTTTGGGGTGGGGCAACATGCTCCACTTTATTTAACGTAGCCACTAACCTATAGAAAACAGCCTCCTGCCACCACACTGAGCATGTGTGAACTTGACAGTCTAGTGTTGTGAGAGGTACCCTGGGACTTGTAGTTTTTTTGCAGAAGCTTCACAGGCCTGGGATGAACTCCCAAGCTAGGAGTCCTGTTGTCTGTTGTCAGCTCATTTACATTTCCTTAGTATCACTCATTTCCTGGGACAGAATGATTTCAGACAGTTCTATCTGACCACCTCTCAAACCTATGGAGACTCAGGCCCATACCCTCCAACCAACGGAAACCTGCTCGGGGATTCTGAAACCCAGAGAGGCAACAGAGACCTTGAGTGAAAACCCTGTATTTAATGTGAGATTGGGGGAGCCCCATCCCTCCCTTTTTTTACCACCCACTCATCCGGCCTTTTTTTAGTTGGGTGAGGGCTGCCCCCAGTCTCCGTCCTGCGGCTCTGGGTACCATCCTTTGGGCTCAGTCAGCCTCCAGGGCCTGTCTCTCTCTGAATCTCCTGTGGGACACGGGGAAAGACATCATGTAGGCTTCATCATGTTGGCTCCACAACACCCTTCTCCAATCTGCCCCTTCTACTCACTGTCATCTAACCCCTCACCTTCTTGCATATTCATACAGAGCCTGTTTTCGCTCCTGCAGGCTCTCCTGACGGGCCCAGGAAGACTTGGCAAATGTTAGGGCTGTGGGCTGAGGGGTCACCAGGCCAGAGCTGGGGAACTGAGGTGATCACAATGTCAGAGGGCTTGCGCAGTCATCATCAACAAACACGCACCATATGCCTACTTTGCGAGAGAGGCACTGTGCTAGGGTCTCATGATCCGAAAGACAAGTCAGGAAGAGGGAGTGAGGACTGCCCCAAGCTACCCAAGTCTTGGACTTGACTGCTTCTGGGTCTCACCTTTGGGGCAGAGGCTGTGGGCAGGGACTGGGTTCCCTCTGTGATGTCTTCGGGCATGAAAGCTACAGCCCCCTCAAGCAAGTTAGTGATGGTCAAGTCTACACAGCCAGTCCTGGCTGGGAAGAAAGGAAGAGAGGAGAGGGGAGTCCATTCCCTGCTCACCTCTTCCTTCTTAGCCTTCCTTCAGGGCCCGCTTTCTCTTCCCTGTCTGTTACTTTGTGGGAGACCACCCTTTCTCATACCCAGGTCTCTCTGGATGACACCCAATGGCACATGAGGCAAAACCTCCTTGACTCTCTGAGCCAGCGTGGCCAACTGCGCATCAGGAGGAGGGCCAGGAGAGGGAGGGAAAGAAGAATGGGCTGAAAAACCAAAATTCAGAAACATGGTTAAGTGGAGACTTAGGAGGAAGAGGCTGGTCAGACTCGTAATAGGGAAGAAATTGCCACAAGTTGAAAAAGCTCAAAAAGAGACCACACACCTAACTGGGGGCGCGACCTGGGGTGTCTTTGTCGCTTCATGTGTTCTGCTTTGTCAGCTGGAGTAAGCCGTGTCCCTGTCTGGCCCAATTCCTTGGCCACCAGCTAGGAGAAGTGGAAGGCTGTAAGTATCGAGAGCGACAGCCTCTCCCTAAGGAGGGACGCACACCTCCACCCTGCTTGCGTTCTCTACCACCTGTTGTACGCGGAGCGCAAACTCCTCATTCTCCTCTCCCAGCTGGCGACGAACAGGATGAAGCCACCTGCAAAAAACAATCCAGGGCCATATTAGGTCATCCCTTCCCCACTTTGGTACCTCGCTTCAGGGAACAGTGGTGGTGAGGGTGGGGACATAGTCAACAGTGTTGCCTATGTGGTGGGACCTTGGCATTAAAAAAGCTACAGAACGGACAGGGCAGAGGTCACTAGCTCCTTGACCTTGATGTGAGCCTCTCCCCAGCCACCAAAGAGTGAGGACAGTTAATACCTTACTTGATACACCGTGAAAGGGACGAAAAGTGACCACAGCAGTTCTGAGACCCAGGAAGCATCTGACACCGTCTGAGGGGAGGGTATGAAGTGAGGCCAGGGCCAGGGCAGGGAAACTTTCTCCCCAAACCCCAGCGATTCCCTGTCCAACACACACTCACCACAGAAACTAAGGGTCTCTGAACTTGCAGGGTAAGAGGTTGTACCACATCCTGAATAGAAAACGGCCAGGAACTGGAAGAGAAAGGAGAGCAGGATGGAGTCCAGCTAGCCCCACCAGCAACACTTATGACTAAAACAGGAAATCGTTAACACTGCACAGGCAGATAAACAGGAAAGAGATTCGGGGGGAAAGAACTAAAAGTGGGCAGAAAAAAATGACCCGGGGGTGAAGTGGGATCAAGGCCGAAGGTTGGGAATACCCAAAGGCCTGTAGTTCGGACCAGCCTACCCAGCCGTAGCCTGTGCTCGCTCACCTGAAGCGCAGGAGGCCCTCCCGGCCATTGGTGGCCTCCTCCTCGGGGAAGAGCAGCAGAGGGGTGGGGGGAAGCCTCGTGGAGGCACAGAATCTCTTGAGCGACTCCACCAACTCCACCCGCCTGTCCATCTCCATGAAGCCCCGAGACCAACACACAAAGCTGGGAGGGCTATTGAGTAGAGGCTGGGGACAGGGAGCAGAGAGAGCAAGGTGAAAAGACCGGCAGGAAATGAGAAAAACGGTAACCGGTGTAGTGAGGCGAGGGCAAGGGTCACCCTCCCCCAAGGGAGACCTCAACGGGGCAGGTGAACCCAGGGCACGGGCCCGGGGAGCCACCCGGTGGCGCTCTCGGCCTCGCCCCCACTCACGGTGCTACAGGTGGTGAGCAGGTTGACTACGTTGTGGTCAAAAGGCGTCACGTGGTTGGAAACGAGGACCCTGACGCGGGGATCGCGGAGCTCGGAGGCTTCCTGGCGCGCCACAAGCCCCAGCACCGCACACATGGTCCGCACCACGAACCTGCGGGCAGGGGTGCTGGTGGTGACTGCGCGGCCCCGGCCCGGCCCAGCCCAGACACTCCCTCAGCGCCCGAGTCGGAACCTGCGGAAAACACTGTCAGGCAGCGCGCAGCTAACCAGGAAGACGTGGATCCCAAGAAAGAGGCGCAGCACTAGGAGGCAGAAGCCGACCGGCGCGTAGAGCAGCAGCGCGAGGAGCAGGAAGCCGTCACCCGGGAGCCTGCGGGGAAGAGGCGGTGATCAGGCACCGAAGGCGGAGAGGAAGGGAGAGCTCGCCTCTTCCCTGGGGCTCTTACCGGTGCGAGTCAAAGAGCCGCTCCGGCCCGGGTGCCGGGGAAGGCTCCATCACAGCTGTTTTAGGCGCGCCCGGCCGCCGCCGCCGCCATCTTCGCGCCGGGCCGCAGGGGCTCCTGGGAAGGCTGAGACTTTGGGCATCCGCCAAGGTGCCGTGACCCGAAGTCCGGAGGCGCCCCGGAAGGGCTAGCGGACCCAGCATGCCCTGCGGCCCCGGGGCGCCTGACAACTCGCGTCCGGCGGAGACCACAATTCCCAGCATTCGCGGGACGGGGCGGAGCTGGTTCCCGGGAATCCTGGGTCCCGGCGTGCACTTCTCCAGGACTTTAGGTTCCGGCGTGCCCAGGGTCCCGCTGTCTGCCTGCTCTGATCCTGGGCACCGCCTCCGAGTTGGGCGGGCGAGTAGGCAGCCGAGGTGGAGCTGATGGCTGCACTGAGGGCGGGGCGGGGTGCAGGCTGGATCCTCAGGGGGTGGCGGGCTTTGGGTGGCATTCTTTGCGGGAAGGGACCCCTGTTGACCCCTGACCTTCGGGCCCTCCTGACGTCAGCAGCGCCTTACCCCTGGGCCCGGGGGACTCATGGGACCTCCAGTCTCCCAGCGCGGTTGTCTTTGGGGATCCCTGAACCTCGGGCATATTTGACGTCTTGGACCCGGGCACGACTGACTGCGGAGACTCCTGATCCCCAGATCGAGGAGGCCTCGGGGACCCCCGGAGCCCGTCCGCACTCGTGGCTGCCGGTGGCGCTCGGCGCCGGGGGCGCAGTGGTGTTGTTATTGTGGGGCTGGGGTCGGAGCCCACCAGCCGTCCTCGCAGCTGTCCCTGCTCCGCCACCCACCTCTCCCCGGAGCCAGTACAACTTCATTGCAGACGTGGTGGAGAAGACTGCGCCTGCCGTGGTGTATATCGAGATCTTGGACCGGTAATGGTGGGATAGATAGGGAGGCGTGGAAGCCACAGGCAGAGGGCAGGAGCTTCTTTATACTACCAGCGCTTTCCCCGTACCAGGCACCCTTTTTCGGGCCGCGAAGTCCCTATCTCAAACGGCTCAGGATTCGTGGTGGCTGCCGATGGGCTCATCGTTACCAACGCCCATGTGGTGGCTGATAGGCGCCGCGTCCGTGTGAGGCTGCCTAGCGGTGACACATACGAGGCCATGGTGACAGCTGTGGATCCTGTGGCAGATATCGCCACGCTGAGGATTCAAACCAAGGTGGGGTCGTAGTAGGCTAGGTCTGGTCGCAACTGTTCACTTACTCCTGTCTCCAGATGACAGGTCTCTTGTACCCATTCTCTTTAGGCGCCTCTCCCCACATTGCCCCTGGGACGCTCAGCAGATGTCCGGCAAGGCGAGTTTGTTGTCGCCATGGGAAGTCCCTTTGCGCTGCAGAACACGATCACATCTGGCATTGTCAGCTCTGCCCAGCGTCCAGCCAGAGACCTGGGACTTCCCCAAGCCAATGTGGAATACATTCAGACTGATGCAGCTATTGATGTATGTCCCTATATGAGAAGAACGACAAGCTAGGTTGGGGGAGCGGAGGTGCTGTGTGGTACAGCACCAGCTGGTGTGTGTTGGATGAGCAGTTATACTGATGTTGGGCTGCAAAAGTGTAGCCACTGGTTTACTGGCTGAGGAAGGAGAGAATCTGGAAAAGTGCTTACTTCTGGGTTATGCCCCCAGGTTTAGAATCTCCTGATCTCTTCCATGTTTTTTCCTTGTCCTACAGTTTGGAAACTCTGGAGGTCCTCTGGTTAACCTGGTGAGTGTGATATCTTTCCTTCTAAGAATCCCTGCCCCAGGTCAGTATGGAAGGGGTGGGTTTCCTCTAATTCAGGAAAATTTGGTTCAGTTTCTGTGCGGTCAGTGTCTTGTTTGCTATCTCCCCGTATGCAAGCAGTTCCCTCAACAGTCCCTGATTCTCTCGTTCAGATGCCCCCATCCCCTGCAGTCTGTTTGGGCTAGGGGACAGGGGGCTGTGTCCCTGCAGGATGGAGAGGTGATTGGTGTGAACACTATGAAGGTCACTGCTGGAATCTCTTTTGCCATCCCCTCTGATCGACTTAAAGAGTTTCTGCGACGTGGGGAAAAGAAAAGTGAGTCTGGTAGCAGGAAAAGGGGGTTCTTTTTGTTGGTCTTTTTGAGATAGGATCTCGCTATGCAGTGCAGGCTGGCCTTGAACTCACTTATGTAGCCCAGACTGGCCTCAGACTTGCAGTGATCCTCCTGTCTCAGCCTCTCGAGTGCTGGAATTACAGGCGTGTACCACCATGCCCAGCAAGGGGTTCTTTAAAAGTGGTGGATGGGACATGGGAAGGAACGTTCCCTGGGAGGAAAGGGAAGGAAAAGAAGGATGTAGTGGGATTGGGGGCTCATTGCCCCTCTTTCACAGATTCCTGGTTTGGAACTAGTGGATCCCAGCGCCGTTACATTGGGGTGATGATGCTGACTCTTACTCCCAGGTATGAGTGTTAATGAGTGTGATGTGTAGAATCAGTGCTGAGCAGCAGGGTCCTCTGTCAGGCTCTGTTTTTGCTCGTCTTTATCTAAGATGAGCTGCTTCTACAGTTACTTTGATTTTCTCACCATACTCCATCTGGCACTCTTGTCACCAGACTGATTCCATCTTGTCACCACTGTCATTCAAAGCCTTAAGTTCATTACCCCTGGCACTTAAGGGCTTTCTGTTTCTTTCTTTCTTTCTTTCTTTTTTTTTTTTTTTTTTTTGAGACAGGGTATCACTATGCAGTTCAGGCTGGCCTTGAACTCACTTTGTAGCCCAGGCTAGCCTCAAATTCCTGGCGATCTTCCTGCCTCAGCCTCCTGAGTGCTGGTATTACAGGCGTGCACCATCATGTGGCTCTTAAGGGCATTTTTCCCCTGACTAAACCTTCCAGAGTTGGCTTCTGTTACTTCCCACAGGAATACTATTTCAGCCCACCTGATATTCCACACCTGTGTCTTTACACTCTTCTTGTTTTGTATGGTTAACATCAGACCCATCATTCTAGGCCCAGCTTAAGTTCTACCCTCTTCTTAAAGCTTCTGTTAGGATTCTGGAATGATACCAGTGTTCTTGAATTAACACTGTGTCATTTGGAATCAAGTTTTCTTTTATATACATATCCTACTTTCTAACTGCTAGAAGACAGAAAATGAGCTGTCTTTGTATCTGGAGTGCTTAGTATGTGTCCTGGCCACACATTTACCAGTGTGTTGATGAGAGACTTGAGGCAAACCCGAGACGGGGAGAGTTCCTAAGTGTAGCTAACAGGTTATCTGTGTCCTTTCAGCATCCTTGCCGAGCTACAGCTTCGAGAACCAAGCTTTCCTGATGTTCAGCATGGTGTACTCATCCATAAGGTCATCCTGGGCTCCCCTGCACACAGGTGAGGGAGGGAGTGCTCTGTGAGGCGGGGCGGGGGAAGTGTACACGTGTCCTTGAACTGGGCTGTGCACTGCCTGGTTTCTCTCTGTCCATCCTCTGCAGGGCTGGTCTGCGGCCTGGCGATGTGATCTTGGCCATTGGGGAGCAGCTGGTACAGAATGCTGAAGATGTTTATGAAGCTGTGCGAACGCAGTCACAGCTGGCAGTGCGGATCCGGCGGGGACCAGAAACCCTGACTTTATATGTGACCCCTGAGATCACAGAATGACTGCATTATCAAGAGTGTGAGGCTCCTGCTCTGATTTCCTCCTTGCCTTCCTAGCCTAGGGGAGCCAATGAACCAGTGGGGGGCAGGTCCCTCCAACCAATCCCTGGGCCCTGAACAATCTCAAAAACACTTTTTATATAAAATAAAATTATACCTAGCAACATCTTATAGTCAGACATGGGGGGGAGGGGGCCGGATCTTTTCCCCCACCAAAACACTAGAGGTAAAGCTGTATCTCCCCTGAACCGAGGGGAGATGTTGGGAGCTGACCGTCCTGACCTCATATTCAAGACAATGAGCTGCTGCCATCTGGTGTTCTGGGAATTTAGTCAGTTGCTGCTTGCTGTGCTCCGTGCTGGGCCCAGAACAGAGATTCTCCATGCTGGCACAGATACTGACAGCCAGTCGAGGAAGAAGGGCCATGACGCCGTCATTTCCACATCCACAGTCCATGGTGGATGGATACGGCGGGCCTGCTACCATCAAGGGTTCCACGGTAAGCTCCTGAGGTAATGGCAGCCTCAGACCCCTGCCACTGGGGCCAGTGGTGGTTTGAAGAGGAGGGTGGTGACACTTTAGACAACCTGGTTGCTGGTCTGGCCGGGGTAGCGCTCGAACCTCCTGTTGGCCTCTTCACTGAAGGCGTCACCTGAAAGCAGAGTGGCGGCAGTGTGGGTGGTGCCCTGCCCGGAGGCAGGAAGGCAGACCCATTGTGGGGAGGGTGGGGTAGGAGTGGATAGACAGAGGTCCAGGAGTGGGTGGGAAGACACAGACTTTGCTTAAGGAAGAGAGATTGAAAGCCTTTCCCTCCCAGCCCCTAATCACCCGTTCCCCTTCCCATTAAATACCGATGTGGCAGTTGTGCACCCAGATGCGATGTCCGTCATATTTGCAGTTACATTTCATTGCATTGTTAGTGAAGTCACTTTCCGCTACTTCAAAATTGGGGTTGATGATCACCTGCGAATGGGGGAGAATGGCCACTTGACCCAGCTGCAACCGTCAAATCCAAAGTCTCTTTGAGATGCCTGTCCACCAAGAGAAAAAAAAAAAAGGAAAGGAAAAAGCAAAAGACTCCTGCCCACCCCCCAGAAGCGCCAGACCCTAGGCACCTGGAGAATGTAGTTTCCTGGCTTCACGTCTGTGATGTCAATCCACTGGCAGTCGATGTCATGCCTGTAGAGATCCCAGCAACCCACAGTGATGCCTTGCTCTCCGAAGTTGGCACACTCGTACCTCTTGGAGACATCTGAGGAGATTGGCATTTGTCAGGGGGAGGAAAGGCTGTGCTTTGGAGATGCCAGAGTCCACTCTAGGCCCCAACTCACCCTCCTGACATTCAGTGTCTTCGAGACAGAAACTCGCTTTGTGCCCCTCCGCCACCTTGGTGCCATTGGGGGTCAGAATATCGTAGTGAGTGAAGATGTCCATGCTGTGGTAGTGCCTGTGGGATAAGGGACAAGGGAATCCGTTTGTTTCCCTGGGCCCCGCAGGCGCACCTGCTCCCTGCGGCCTTCCCCTTCTACCTGATCCCTTCCACCCTCTCACCCATGGCACTCATGCCACACCCAGGAGTGGCGCCCAGCCTTGGGCCTGAAGTCAGCTCGTCCCAGATTGTGGATCTGGGAAGAGAATCGGAGCAGACGGCGGTGGCCGTAAGGCCAGTTGGCCAGGCGGGCAGAGCTGGCCAGGCAGTTCTCTTCCGCAGCACAGTATAGCATGTGCAGGGGCCTGTCCTCGATGTAGGCGGTCTCTTGCACCAGCGCTGAGTGCAGCAGCAGATCAGAGGCCGCTGCATGAGAAAGGAGAGTGGTGGAAGTCACTGTGAGGGGCAGGGATGGACGAGGTGCTTCCATTCCCAAGTGTGGGAGTGGTTCTCTGGAGAAGAAGCACCCTGCTAGATGACAGCCCCTTCTCTCCCTGCCAGGGGTTGGCCCAGAGCCTCCCTTCCCTGGCCCGCTATCCCCTGCCCTTCACTCACTCTCAGAACAGATGACTCCAGCGGTGAAGCGGGTGTCGGTCCTCTTGCAGGTGACGTGAGTGCCATGGTGGGCACATTGGTCCAGGGATAGCTCCATCCCTGTGCAGCGCACTCCGCTCATCACCACCTCGGTTGTATTCCCTGAGTCCCAGTACCATGTCTCCTGGGGGCATAAGTAGGCTCAGCCTCCTGGGCCAAGGGACGCGTTTCCACAGTCCTTTGCCCAAAGCACAGGCTCTGAGACAATGGCTCTGGTTCCTCTCCTTACTTACCTGCAGGCCGTGGTTGGCATAGCCCAGACCGAGCTGCCTACAGGCCACCATCGCCTCCAGCGTTCCCCAGTCATCTCCACAGATGAGACCCCAGCGGAGGTGCCCAGGTCCCCCTATTTGCACCTCAACTCGCCCCTCGTGTCGGCTGCGACCCCCACTGAGTCGAATCTGTAGTGACACAGAACGGAAGCACTCAGGGAAGCTGAGTGGTGAGAGGCTGTGGTGGGAAGGGGGCAAAAAGTGACTCACGCACATAAAGGGCCGGCAGGTGGTGGGATCAGCTGGGAACTCTGGGACGGTAGGGGGCTGGGACAACGTACTGGGGACCACCAGCCTATACTCTGGAGCTGAGGACCAGACCGAACGAGACATGGAGGCCGGGGCCAAGGTGGAAAGGATGACTGACCTTGGTCTCCACCCCAGTGTAGGGCAGGTTGCATCGGACCCCAGCATCCTGGCTGTGAGAACAGTCTTCAGCAGTGATGTTCTTGGAGGAGCACTTCCAGAGGGAGGACTCCTGGCCAGAACATCGAACTTCACTCAAGTGGATGGCACCCATGCCTAGGCCAGAAGTCATAGCTCAGGGGGTTGTAATTACACCTTCACTGCCCAGGGGACTCCTCACTTTCTCAGGAATTTACTCCCGAGTGGGAACCTCCTTGCCCTGCCCCATTCCCCTGCCCCCTCACCCTGCCCCATGCGGGCGCCGGTCAAAGCCTCTCGAGCACTGCCGAAGCCCAGCTCTCGACACACCACACTCGCTGCCTGCACGTCCCACTTGCGGTCACAGACTGTGCCCCACGTGCCAGCCTTCAGGACTTCCACCCGGCCCTCTCCAGGATGGGCGCCGCCCTTCAGGCGCACTCGGGCCTAAGAGAGATGTGCCCAGCAGAGGTGAATACCCGGGAGGGCTAGGCAGACCTGGGAGATGTAAAGGATTCTGGTGGGAGGGGGCAGTGGGTATGTCGGGTGTGTGGGTCACCCCCGAGGAAGGTTCCATTCTGTCCTCAAAGGTCAGGACTGTGCTACTGAGGGGGTGGCCAGGCCAGGGGTTTTCCATCTGGGCTAGGAAAGGTCGTAGTCTGTCTCACATACCTCCTCCTGAGGCTTGGGCTGCTGTTGCTTCTTCTGGCCGCTGGACACCGAGTAGAGAGGGCCGGCCACACAGCTCACCACCACAGGGCCCCCACCAGCACACCTGGTGGTGTCGTTGGCACGATAGAACTCCAGGGAACAGAGAGAGAGGTGGGCCTCTGTGCCCACACATGCCACTCCATGCAGACCAAAGGAGTGTTGCTGCCGCTGGGCCAGCAACCTGAGGGCACAGGAGTGAGACGCAGTAGGGTAACACAGTGCTCGCACCGCCCTGCCTCACAGTCCTCCGCCAGCCCAGGCCCCCACCCCCTCATGGCCGCGTACCCCTCACTTCCCCTGGTTATTACAGTTCCCTCAGAAGAAACAAAGGGATTGTTGAGTGTGAAGGCCAAAAGAGCCTCAACTACCCACACAGGAGGGCCCTTGGGGACCTTCTACCGAGGAAGAGGCCTAGAAGGATGGCCGGTCTTGACTTGCCCGATGACACCTTATTTCTAGTGGTTTCAGGCTGTTCACTGGGAAGGAGGCTGAGGCTAAGGCCGCTATGCAGATTAAATGGGAAGCCACGACCACTGAGAGGAAGAGATGATCAGGAAGGAGCGGCTGACACGAACAGGAGGCCTGAACTGCCAAGTGAGCAGACTGTTATATTACCCTGAGACTGAAATAACAAGTCGAGGTGCAAAGGACAGGGGGAGTCTTGGTTCTCAATGGCTTCTCAGAGGCCACTGGGGCTTCCAGGTGAGAAATCCTGAGTACAAAGTATGCCGGGCAGTTACAGAAAGGACAGACCAAGGGTGGCCTTCAGAAGGCGTGGCGCTGGCATATCCAGGGATGAGGATGTATGAACGCAGGACAGGCAGAAGCTGGAGGGACTGCACAGCCTGCAGGATGGTGGATGGGAATAACAAAACGGCAGACAACCCAAGACTTGGGCTGAGCTGTTGAAAAGATGTAGTCCACGCTTCTGCTGTTCCAACCTAACAATGTCCCACAGCCATTTGAGCTGGAAAACGGGACTGAACTAGGGATGATTAAGCCTGGAGACTGCAAAGAGATCCTTGAGAGAAAGGGGACACCACTGGGATGAGAGATTGTAGCGAGGTGTGTGTAGAAGAGAAACACCCTCTTGGCAAAACAGCTGGGTCAAGCCCAGTGAGAAAGGGAAGCACAGGAGACCTGGCACTGGTGGGACAGGCCGGTGAGCCTGATCTGGTGGTGGATTATTGCAGCAACGTGCCCTATCGCTTGTCACAGGAAGGGAGGAAAAGAGTTACTTGAAGCCAGGAAGCCTCCCTCTGCTAGCAAGACAGAGGGAGGAGGAAAAGTTACTTGTAGTAAACAACGCAGGCAAAGGAAGCCTGGAGACTTCACAGAATACCTTTGGAAGCTCAGGATAAATGGATCCTGAAGATCAAAGAGATCAGGTACTCACCCACAGTTCTGTTTGGCTGAAAATAAGTCGCAGAGGGCATCACAGGAAAAAAGACATCTACCTTCTAAACTCCTTGCTTCCCTGTCCCTGTGACTAATAAAACAAAAACAGCAGAGTGTGCTGTAATATGAGGGCCAGGAAAGGCCAAAGTATGGCCATATTGGGCAAAGATGACCTTAAGCCAGAAGGGCACTGCAAGGACGCCCTTAAATTCTGAGCTCCTTTGCAGCCAGCCACCAGAGGGAGAAGCTGGGGAGTGAGGGCCAGAGAGCCACTGGGTGCTGCAACTTGCTGAGGAGAGGAGGGGACAACAGAAAGGGATGAATTTTCTGAACCTCAGTCACTGCTGAAGAAGTTATCAAGGAGACTTTTAATATGCAAACTGCCTCTTGGAAAGAAATTAGATAGAAGGGTTGGAGGAGTCCCACTCCCTTGAGTTCTGGAAGAGCCCAGGAGGGAAATTTTGGAACAGGGAGCCTTACTGTGTAGACTGAGCCAGAGAGGCAGGGACTGTGCTTTTCATTTCATCCCTGGAAAGGCACCAAAGGGGACTCTCCCTCTATCGAAGGCAAACAGGTAACACTTTAAAAATGAATCAAATAAAGGTAGGATGGGATCACTGGTCCTTTAGGTAAACAACCTCTTAGTGGAAAGGTAAGTATGGAATCTGGAGAAAGGTGCCAGATTATCTTACTAGAACTCAGTGAAAGAAGATAAACATGGAATAAAACCAAAAATCCAACAGCATAATTGCCCAGAGACTAACATACAGTCAGTGTTACTTAAAAATTCCGCTAAAACTCTGGAAGGTATTTTCTCACAGCTTCTGCTCCTCTGTCAGCCAAACACGTCTCTCTTGTACTCTCCCTGACCACAGTCGGACTCGCCTAACTTCATGCCTCTGCATTCCCTCACCTCTCCACCCAGCCCCAACTTCATTTACCTCTTGATTGGCCCCCTGCCCACTCGGGACTTGGGTTTGACTTTAAGCTTGGTGATTGGTCTGCAAAAAGGAGAAAGATGGCGGAGCTAGTGGTTAGGTATGTGGTCTAGGGAAGGTAGAGGGTTCTTCTGTTTCTGAAGAAGGACCCTTCATGCAATGTGTGGGAAGGGGAAAGCGAAGGGTGGCAGGATTTCCCAAACACTGGCTGCTGAACACCATGGGCATGTGTACATCCAGGACTTCAGGTTGTTTCTCCTGATTGAGTGACAGCGATGGGAAGTCTAGTTATGGAAACTCCAGCAGGGGAGAGGAGAGGAAGTCAGAGGAAAGGCCAAGGGAGGAGAAAGAATGGGGATGTGGGTAAATTAAGGGAGGCAGAGAGTTGCGGGAGGAGGAGTGCAGGTGTCTGAGGCTGCAGTTCATGAATTCGGGGTAAGTAGAAAGATGGGAGGTTTCAGATCAGTTGTGCATTATTTCCTCCCATGTTTCTGGAGATCAAGCTTGCTCATCCCCATGCAACCCTCTCTCCCCTCCCCCAGGAATGACTATCTTGCAAGTCACATGCCTAATCTGTCAGTTTGGGGTCTGGGATGGACATGGATAGGCTGCCATCCATCCATCCACCTCCTGGGGCCTCAGGAGGTCCCGGGGCTCTTGCCCCATTACCTTCCAAGGGACTTGGGGCGTCGGGCTGAGGCTTTGGCCGCTCGCTTCCTCAACTTTCTGTGAGGATAAGATAATAGTAGTCAGGATCAGTGTAGAAACAAGTGGAAAAGACCGGTGCAGCCAAGACCAGCAGAAGAAGGGCTCCTGATGGCAGGATAGTGTGTCCTCAGGTGCTCTGAGTCCTACCCGCCACAGCTGTTTGCCCTCATGAACACATGAGCAAGTGGGTGAGCAGCAGCAAGGGCCATGGACTTAGGACAGATGGCATCCAAATGCCAGGACCCTCAGAGATTACACTAAGGTGAATGGGGAATGAGGACTTCTGGGTCTGGATGTTGGTGGTAAACTGCAGGGGAGGGGAAGAGCGAGGGAGGGTCATGATTATTAGGATTGCCAGACTGACCAGGGAGAGCTAGCCTGGACCAGGCCTGGGGAGGCTGTACTTTCCTTTTTTTTCTTGAATGCTATCTCCAAGAAAGACTTCTCACATTGTCCAGGCCTGAGGTCACTGGACCAGGGCCAAGGACAAGGCTGGATATCTGAAGACATTTAATTTGGTTTGCCTGGGAGTACCCTTCGCGCTCAAGTTACAATCCCAGATGCTTTGGTCACACACTGAGCTCATTTCCCAAATGTACATCTAGGGAAAGAAATCTCCCTTTAATTGGCTTAAATAATTGACTTATTTAATTCTTTAAAAGGCTTCTTTAAGTCTAGTAACAGAAACAGGAGCCAGGTCTGTTTTTCTTTTCATTCTTCTCTTAATTTTGAAGGCTGCACTTATGGCCCTTCTTTGTCCTGTTCAACTATTTATAGATGAAGATGTCTTGTCTGTCTTGTAAGTTTATGGAGTTCTCTGTTATCATGTGTGTTGTCCTTTCTTTGACCAGGTTCTTCCTTGGCTGTTTCTCTTGAGGATTTATAGTTCAACATAGCATGCTGTGTAAAAGTTACACTAGGACTGTAGTATGTGCTTTTTAAATGGGTTCATATTTCCTGCCCCGGCATCTTCCTGAGAATGTATTTAATTGGTATTTTTGTCAAAGCATCCAGAATGTCCACCATTCCTACCAAAGAGTCTACAACTTTCGGGTCCCTTTCTGTAGACATTACTAAGAATTGGGAACATTTCGTCATATGAATATGATGTGGAATTTTTTCTCCAAATGACTTTTTCTCAAACATGTCTAAAATGAAATACATGTGGCAGTTTCTTTGACCAATAAACTCAGAAAGATCACTGGAGTAGTACTCAGAAAAATTTAGAATTGTATGGACATTTACAAGTACCTTGTGGGCTGGGGGTACAGCTCAGTGGTAGAGCACTTGCCTCGAATGTGAGTCCTTAGGTTTGATCAACCAGCACTGTGACAACAACAATAGTACCACCTCTTCTCTAAATTAAGGACTTTATAAGGTGTGTGTGTGTGTGTGTGTGTGTGTGTGTGTAGTTTGGAACTTTTCATCTTACAAATATTAGATGTATGGGTCATGGCTTGTACCTAGATATCTGCTCCCCTCCAAGCCTCATGTGATGATAGGTGGGACTTTTCAGAGGTGGTTGGATCTAGGGTGTGTGGTGCTGGATTAAGTGTGTGATTACTAAATTAGCCACTGATTGGTTTGGTATAGTTCTGGGTGTGGAAATGGGAAGGCCCACCCTGGGTGTGGGTGGTACCACCCAAAAGGCAGGTAGCCCGGAAGGGATAAAAGGAGGGGGCAGGCTGCTGTTGTTGTTCTTTGCTGCTCTGCTGCTTTGCTGCCTTCTGCCTACCATGAGCTGTTTCTCCTCTGCAATGCCCCTCTGCCATGCCACCCTGCCTTGGAGCCAGCCAACTATGAACTGAAACCTCTACAAACTGTAAGCTACAATAGACCTTTCCTCCTTTAACTTTGGGTGTCAGTTATTTTGTCTCAGCAATGACAAAAGTAACTAAGACAGTGTGTATACTGCACAAGTATATAAAAGAGTAAAGGACCTGGTCCTGATTTAGGGGCAGTGCTGACATTTGTCTTGATATACATTTCTTCATTCACAGATGTGCCTGTTTCCCCCATCTTCCTTCAACCATCAACCATGAAAACCTATCTATATCTGCACAACTTTCCAACTATCTCTCTTCTTGAAGGCCACTCCCCTCAAGTGTTTCTGACCTTTTTTTGTGGATTTTTTTTG